CATGCCCGTGCGGAAGCAAGGTGAGGCGGGGGGCGGCGGCGCCGGTGCCGGTGCCGCCGGTGCCGCGCCGTGACCGCGTGCCCGCTCTGTGCCCGCAGACACGCAGCGCGCCCTGCGCCTCCTCGAGGAGTATCGCGCCCGTCTGCGCCGCGCCGAGGACCGCCCGCTGCGGAGCTCCATCGAGCGCGTCATCGGCATCTTCCAGAGCAACCTCTTCCAGGCGCTCATAGGTAACGGCTGCTGGCGGCGGGCGCGGCGCTCGCAACGCGCGGCCCCGCGCGCCCGGCCGCCGCAAGCGGCTCGCGGGGGCCCCGCGCGCGCTGCGTTCCGCGCACGGCCCCGCGCCCTAGCGCAGAGCCCTGTCCCGCCAGCCTCGGCGTAACAGGTGAACGAGCGAGGCAGCCGGCGCGGGCTTGCTCCGAGGTGGGCAGTGTGTGGGTGCTCCCGCTCTGAAAACATCGCCACGTTGGTATGTGTGGAGTTGAAGTGAGTGCAGAGGAGAGCTCGGGCAGGGCAGGCTGCAGCTCTCCCTGTCGCTGTGCTTCGGCGTGCAGCAGCAGCAGGAGGGGAGCGTTGCCGGTTCCTGGCTACAGCACTTGCCGTGCGCTGAGCGGTCGTGCTCCTGTGAGTGCTCTTGGACAGTGTGTACAGCCTGGCGTTCCTTGCACGTGGCTGCTTGGAAAAAAAGCTTGAGCCTGAACAGGACTCACTGCATCCTCCCTTGCTTTTGAAACTTCTGCAGGGGAGTGGTGAGATGCAGTTTCTTATGAATTAAGTGTTGTTATCTTTATGTCAGTTACAAATAATCTCCTCCTTAAACTAGCAAGACTTACAAAGTTCTGTATCCTTGTCTTTAAAAGAAGTCATACGCAGATTACTTCATTGATTAGATAGAAGCATTCTCGTTACTGTAAGTTTACTTTTGTAGCTTGGCGTTACCCAAACATGCAGCAAGTTGTTTATCAGATGAGTGTACATATAACTTTATAGTGCTGCAGCTTCCTTGCATCTAAATTGCGTTGGTAACGAGGAGACAAGCAAAACATAAGTATACATTGCCCTGTTGGGTGTGTTTGTTTTCTGGGGGGAGCWTTTCTTTCTTTTCACATAGTTTTTAGAGGATAGTCGTCTTATGTTTTTAGCAGATAAGTTCTTTATAGTTCTTGAAAGCCAACTGTGAAAACAGGTCAGTTCCAGAGATCTTGTGCTTCAGAAGCCTTTTGCATTTGCCTTCTATAGTCAGTCAATGGTAGCTAGCTCCGTGGTTAAAAACCAGGCTAGCCTTTGTGGGATATGTTTAATTAAAATTCTCTGGTGGATTGACATGCTGAAGTCTTGCATCAGAAACTTCAAGTACACTGATTAGGTTCTTTACTTTTTTTCCAGGAAATGTTAGTGTTGGTTGCCATCTCTCTCTTCTTCTCTTGGAGATCGGCCAATTTCACCATGTTTTCTCCCCTGCCCTCAGCGAGGTGCTTGTCAGTTACAGGGCATTAGCCATGGATGTTGTAAATAGCCACACACGCTCCCTTCTGACATCCACAAATGGATCTTTGTTGTCTCATCGGCTCTGCACTTAGTACTGGTAAACTTTGCTTCTTCCTATTTGCTGACTCCCTTCTGCAAAAGCAGAAAGCAGGAGTGGTGGTGTTGGCTGGATGGGCTGTGTAGCCTTTCCCTCTTAAAAGAAGTTGCATGCTGCGACCATTTGACCCCTCTTTTGGCTGTTATAGCTCATCTATGCCTGCACAGTAGGCTTATGCCTCCTGGATGTGCTGTATTAACTTTGCATTTACAGATTGAGTGATTGTTTATTATGAAGTGTTTCCAAACTGTAACAAACTGTTGCTCTGAGTGATAGTAGCAAAGAAGAGTTGCTTCCCAAGCAGTTGCTGCTCTCAGCTTCAGTCTCTCTCCTTTTACCTCTTCCTTTCCTTGGAAATACATAAGGGGKATCGTTAATGGTGACAGACTGCTCACCTGTGACTATTGCTTTTCCTGGAAACATCCTTTTGCGATGTGACTGCTGCGTGATGGGACAGGAGTGGATCAGGGAGATTCCCTGGGCAAGATGGTATGTGGAGGATGGTGCAGTTACTGTGAATCGTCAGCCTGTTCTTGCCTGCCTTCTTTTCATGGGCAMCTGGGAGCAGGCTGGATAAAGCTTTTGGTTATGCTGCAGATTAGACRTTGCTGGAATAAAGATTTTTTTCATTACTTCTGAGTTGGTTCTTAAGTAGAACTTTTCAAGAAGTAGAGATGTGTCTGTAAACTAAGCATCCAAAGCTGCTTTGACAGCAAGTTGCAAGCTCAGCTGTGAAGTTACTTCTCATGTAGATGCTTATTCCAGAAAGCAGGCTATTTCTTGTTTCTGGATTAAAAGAAATAGTAAATGCAAAGAACTCTCATCATTTCTCCCCTCTCTCCCTCCTTTTCTGACAAGTTGTTGCTGTATATCCAAGAGTTGCCTGTCAGTGACAGGTGAGAATGCTTGGCAAGGCAGGACATCTGCTTTTTAGTATCCCCATGTAAGAGTGCCTGGTACTTTAATTAAATGATTACCARTGGTCTTTCATTAAGATGGGTGTGTGAAGTAGTATTAGTTTTAAGTTCTGTTGTACTATCTCAGAATCATGGTGTCTTTTCTAAAGARTGTTTTCATGTTTGTAATTAAAATAGCTTTTTATTGCTGTTCTGATCATTGGTGAGATGGATCAGCTTACCAAGGGACTCGAGTAAAAYACTTGCATAAGGAGAGGTGAGATAAGATGTAGTTTTGGTTTGATAAAGAATTTGATATTTATCTTTAAAACACTGAGGTAATGCTTCTGCGTGCAGTTAAGTCTTACAGTATAGACACTTGCTTGTCTTAAAGATGCAGATTCTATAAAGGTACGGACAGGCATATCCTTTATTTCTACTTTTTTTTTAAAAAAAAGTGAGGGGGACTGCATGTGTATGTAAGTCTAATACTTCTATGGAAAAAATGTGAAGTTGATTTCTTTTTTGTAAACAGATTTTTCTTTTAATTAAAGCCTGTCTGTGTTTAATGGAATTCCTGCTGCAATTGAGCAAGTGAAAATAGTCTCTTAAAATTAAAAATAGTACTGGTTTATAAAAATGAGGCAGTTTACCAGTTTCTAAAATACTCGCTTCCTTACAGTAACTAACTCTCATTTACACAGGCAGCAGAAAAAGGGAATTTTAAAATGATTTCTGCAGACCTAGGCAGTGGAGTTGGCTGGGTGAAAGGCAGTGTGCTGCCTTTCTTGCCTTGTCCACCTAAAGTGTGTTTTCTTCTGTGTGAATGTTGTTGTTCTAACAATATTTTTATGTCTGTGAATATGCGAACATTTTTTGCTTAAAATGGCAAATCTGATGTGGGGGAGGCTGGATGTGTTGGATTTTTTTTTTTCTTTTTTTGAAGTCTAATTTATTTTACTTGGAGTTCATTTACACCAAGACCTGCGTCATGGATGCTGCTTATGACCTGATTATTTTTAACATTAATATGGAAAATGGAAATGTGGAAAACTTTGAGGAAAAAAATTGTGGCTGCAGTAACTCTCACTGAGCCAAAAAAAAAAGTATACTAGCAAAATAGTCTTCATAATTCTTGTGTATCAGAGAAAGAGAAGTGTTGTCTTGAATATATATGAAAATGATGGTTGCTTTAAGTTAAATGCTTAGTTCGGATTTATCTGTAGCTTGCCTGGAGGTGACTCTTGCAGGGATATCGAGCTCCCTCSTTTCTTGCCTCCCCAGTGCTCTCACTGGCTCAGCTCTGTCCATGCTGGCTTTTATCAACTGCATTGGGGAGAAAACCCTAGACTGAAGTTTAAAGAGGACTGGGAAGGGTTAGCGCTGTGAAAAAGTTTGTGCTACTTGGAGCACTCTGACCATGTTGCTGTCAGATGGCACGCGGCCCCACATCTCACGTGTGCTCCATGTACCATCCCTGCAGGTATCCTTGCTCTCTCAGCACCCTCTCAATTAGCCAGTATGGAAATATTTTCCATACTTGCTAGCTGAATTGAAATGGACTGTGATTAAAGCYGAAGTTTTTCTGTGTAACTGAAACCAAAAGTGCTTGTCCTGAGAAAACCTCAGTATCAGCTTTTATTCCAGGGATGTAGTTGGTTAATACAGCACGTGGCATGGTGACATAGTTAACTTTGCAAACCAGCACAGGCCATATAAAGGACTTCAGTCATGAGTTTGTGTCATTGTGCAAGACTGTTCTGGAGTTAACTTGAGAAAGGCTACTTGATGATTGCCTTCCACTTCCAGACTTAAGTTGAAGAATATTTATATTACAAATCTAGAAATTTCGAAAGTAACTCAAGGATCTGGTTAAATTATCAATGAATTTAACCCTTGATACGTTTTTATGACCTGCCCTCTCCCTATGCTCTCTACAACTTTAATAACAGAATATCTTTACTCGTATTTGGGCCCGAAACATTTATGTATGTTCAAGTTCTTACAACTTGAAGTTATTCCTTTGCTTCCAGCCAAGCTTCCTAAGGAGATGGTATTGGCAATATTTAGTACTGCTTCCTTCCTGAGGCTTTTGCCAGAGTCAGATTCAGCCTGAATTGACATGAAGTTGTGACCTCAAAGGTAATTAGGTTCTTAAAATATTTTCTCTTCTGCTTTTTAAATTTGGATAGAGGGAAGAGACCCTCATGGTATTTCAGTAATTTGAACAAAATTACTCTGTTGCTGTTAATATGCTTCTGGCACATTGCTTATTGCTGAAGAATGTCCCGCTTTAGAAAGAACTTCACATCTTCCTCAGGAAGGGGCTCCTGATGAGGGAAACAATCTCATTGCTCCTCCGCTTTGCAGAGCTGTTCGTCAGTTTGTATCTATGTCTGTAACGTAACTTGAAACTTGATAGTGTAGAAAGTCTCGGGGCTGCTATGTACTGCATGCCTCTGCTGTTGATGTCGTGTTTTGTGTGGTTTATGGTATGTGTATATGGTACTTCAATGTATTGGATTTTTTGACTTATGTGCTCTTTTTAATAGCCTAAAATAGCACACGGGGTTGAGTAGCTTCTGATGTGCAGATAAACAGTATCATGGCGGAAGATTATCCTTGTTGTGGTTGTGCTGTTTGTGTACTCAGCAGTGAATAGCTGCACTGTAGAATTTATCAATTACAGTATTATCCTCTCTACACTGCTACTATTAAAAGGGGCTGCCACGAGAAAACACTGTCAACA